GTAGAGCTTGAGAGTGGTGAGGACGATGCAGAGGATCAGGAAGATGATGAGAAGAGTTGGGATGTTAGTCCAGGTCCTCATCAGGCTCTCCAGAAAGTGTGCATCAGTGTCAGCTGGCTGAATGTCTGTCCTTTTGCTCTATTATTTATACTAATTTTTGGAGCTTCTGCTTGCCCTTTGGGTCCCTATCAGCTGTTAYCAGGTTTCTTAATGACGTTTTACATTTTAGAGCCAAGCCATATGGTTTGGTGGCTTCTGTCCTGATTTTATACTCTTGACTCTTATCAGGGTTAAGGCAAGTGACATGTTTATACTAAGTGGCTTCACTCTGACTCTTGTCAGCATTGTGGAAAGTTACTTGTTTTCACCAAGTGGCTTATTTCTGACTTGTTTACAAGGTTATGGCTGATGGCATATTGGATGGCTCTGTAGGCTTGTGCCTGCGGAGACTGCAGGTTTTTTAAAATGGAGTTGCTTAGGGTAAGGCCTAAGGCCGTCCTTACCCTGGGCTTCCTCCTAAGCTAGAGCAAGAAGGGGATTTAAATGAACTCTCAAAAAGTGCTTGGACTCATACCCAGTCCTCCTGTCCTCTCTTCTTCCATTCTGGGCCATGAGGTGAGCAGTTCTTCTCCACTATGTGCTCCTGCTATGACGTGTTCCTTGCCACAGCCTTGAAAGCAAAAGGGCCAGTCCAGGACTGAAACCTCCAAAACTGTGAGCTAAAATAAACTTTAAGTTGATCTATCTCAGTAACAGAAAGCTGACTAACACAATTAACTCCTTTGGTGGAGGCTGGGAGAACCAAATCCTTCTGAAAGCCCCCAAGTAAAGGAAAAGAATCAAGCACTTACCCTGCTGTTCTGGAATAAACTTCATATTGGGGTCACCAAAGAGTTGATGAAAGTAGCAGTATTTCCTTACAGAAGAATTATAGAAGAATGAGTTTAGGAGGAATGCTAGAATTGAGATACCATTATCTTTCAGTTCTCAGTAATGGATCTAGGTAATGACCATCAATAGCTAGGTACTAAAAACACCTGAGCAAAAACCAATGGGAACATTATAATAGTTGTTGGATCAGTCTAATGACATCCAAAACCACAAAACCACTGATCAGTTCTGATCTGAGAGAGAGAGAGAGAGAGAGAGAGAGAGAGAGAGAGAGAGAGAGAGAGAAACAATCAAACATTTTTGCACCTACTGGTCAAAAACATTACAAAGAAGTATAAATTGCTCAAGCAGTCTTCTGGCCCAAACACTGAAACTGGTATCTTGAAAGCCTTCAAGTTTTAACAAATGGTACTGAAGTTTTTATGGACAAAATGAAGCATGAGATGTGCTTCAAAATGAACCAGTGGTGGACAGGAAGTGGGTGAGGTATGTGTGAGACAAGACTGGCCATGTTGAGAGTTGCCGGAGCTGGACGGTGAGAGCACGGGGATCACCTACACATACGTACTTCTAGGTAGGCTTTAAAGTGACTAAACAAGTACTCAGACTCAATAACAGTTTTTTTTCCCTATTTGAAAACTACCTCAATTTCTTCCTTGATTCAACTTCTCACAGAAAACTTACTAAAGGTTCCAGTTATCACTTTGACAAAGAGCTGTGTAAACACAGCCAGAAGTGGACTAGTTATGTGAAGCAGGGTTGGTTAAAACTGAGATTGGGCTGCCAAGGGAACACTTGCAGTGAACCTCAGCAACTTCACAGGAAGGGAACAGAGATAACAATGAGTGCTCACAGTCCTCAACCTTTCTTTTGCACTTCATTAAATACACCTATGTGTAACCAATGTACTGCCCCTAACTATATTTTAAGCTTCAGGGGATCTAATTGTTTTTAACTTACTGTATCTCCAGGGCTTACATTTRTTGAATCTGTATAGAACATATATGTATGTACACTATTGTATATATTTTACATATTTTGTATTCTACCTATAAACACATATACTGCACGTTTAGCATTGTTTTGCCTTTGAAATCTAAGTCATTTCAGATACACTTTCTCCTGTTAAATAGCTGGGATAGTATTAGCATACAATAATCTACAAGCCATTTAAGAGTACTGAAAAAACAGGAGAGCACCTCAACCTTGAATCATTGACACAAGTCAATTTACACTCCCCATAAGATTTCTCCCATCACTAAGATTCTTTTATTTTATGACAAAACCATTAGTTCTAGAAGGTTGTTTCTTGCACCTGAGAAGATTAGATTTGGGACATGATCCTATAGAACTTAAGAGGTAAGCTTGGTGAATTCAAACACAGGGAGTTTGGGAGGGGAGAAAGGAGTTCAGTGCTCCTGGGGTGTGGGAGATACTAGGTCCAGCAAGAGGAGTTCAAGTGTCCACTGAGACTGGGAGGATGATCAGATGAAGCAAATGGCATCAACCATAAAACTTCCCAGGGAAGTAGCAATCAGTATGAGGAATGTGAGCCTTGTGGTTTAGTAAAGAATGAATTTCCAAAGACTTGGCATAATTTAAAACCTACCTAGTTCAAGAGTATTTTTCTCATGGGAATAATTGGAAAGTAGGTATGTGTTCTTAGTGCTCTGAAATCTATAGCTATCATGGTAAAGTTTTGCTTTAATACTGCTTTCTTTAAAAAAAAATTGTCTCAGGTTCTAGGCTTCTACATTTAGGCCAGGATATATCAAGGCAGTTGTTTAAAGTTCTTCAGGTTTTATTGTATCTAATTTGCATTTCAAAATTATTGATTTGGAGAATATTTTTCCAGCATTGGCACCACTATTTAATAAAAGGTCAAAAAAGTTTTTAAGTTATAGGAACAACAAAAATATCATGGCAACACTATAATAAGCAAAATCACTTCCAGATGTTTCTCAGCTTGAAACACTATGGCTGACATCATTGATGAAATGTGGCAGGTGTTTTAATGCTGCCAAGTAGCAAGAGCATAGAGTTTATAATTCAGAAGTCTAAAATTGTGATTTCTATAAGTTTTTAGAAAAATGTGGGCAATATATAATTACTTTGTATTTTCTTGTACGAAAATATATCACATTATTCTAAATATGTGATATAAAGTTTACTTTGAGCTATATAACCAAGGCTCATTGGATATGAGGATAAGACAGATGAAAACCCAGGTGTTAAGTGATRCAGGCCTGTAATCCCAGCTACTTGGGAGGATAAGGCAGGAAGATCCCAAGCTCCAGGTCAGCCTCAGCAACATAGTGAGACCTTGTATCAAAATAAACTTTAAAGAACCAGATAGGTGGCTCAGTGATAAAGCACCCCTCGTTCAATCCCCAGTACCAAGAAAAGAAAAAAAGAAAGAAAAATGAGGGGGCTGGGGTTGTAACTCAGTAGAAGAGCAAGCACTTGCCTAATATGAGTGAGGCACTGGGTTTGATTCTCAGAACCGAGTACAAATAAAGATCCAACAACTAAAAAATATTTAAAAGAAAAGAAAAATGAGTTGATTCAACCAGAAGTGATCCTTTTATCTTTGGAACTCTCAAGGTAATTGTGGCAAATCATTTGTAACATCTACACTGTTTTGTGAGTACAACTTTTAAGCCTGTTTTTTGGGGCAAAATCATCTCAAGAATCACTCTTGTACCCATCTTCTCTCCTGCATGAATGTGTCCTTGCTTCTCAATCAACACATGAGTACAGTCAATTGAGTGCTGATAAATGTTTAACATCTGGCCTCAAGGTGGGAAAATCCTAATTTGTAGCAGTTGCCTATTTCCATGGTAAATACTCCCATCCTGGCCAATTTCAAGGTATCAAAATGGAAAAGATGTACAAAATTGGCTCTCACAAGCCAGTAATGAATGGAGTCCAACGCACCAATGAAAGTATTCCTCAGACTTCAGGTCACACCAGTTAGCAGGTCTTGCAAATATCTTAGTGGATTATGAATAGCATTTTTCTTAAGTGAAAAAGATTGTTTCACACATAACAAAAGCATTGTTTTGTGGAATTTTTTACTCTATAATTTTAATTATAAATATAATTATTATGTAGTTCTTACTGTGGCTCATGAACAAAGTCAAAAAGCTACCATTGTGTATCTTTTCTTTTTAAACACAAGAAAAGTAAAATCTTCCCTTTATTTCAGTGATTYCTCAGTGATGTTGTTTCTTTGTTCTCGAAATAGCAAAATTTCTTGAAATATTTTTGCTCAACCTTTCTTCCACTTCTCCGCCTTGCATTAATCTTCTTCAGTCACAGGGACTGACCTCCATGTCGCTAAGCCCACTGGTCACTTTATCTATCATGACCTCAGGGCATTGGCATAACTGGCTGTTCCTCTTTTTTGTCTTCTATGATGCCACTCACCAGGCTCCACCACTGGCCCCTCTTAGCTACTTACTGGCATTTTCTTTTATTGGCTTTTAACTCCCCRGGGGCTCTGACCTAGGTCATTTTCTCCATGTATCTTCTCTGGTGACCTCATTCATTCCCATAACTTTCTATCATTTCCCTCATCTACCATGCTTTGGCCATGCTGGTGGTCTTGTCTCTTGAACAGTCATTCTCAAGAGCCTTATGAACTTGGCATTAGCTTGTCCCCTTAGTGTGAAATGCTTGAGATGTATTTTTTTATATTGTTTTTGACTCTGTAAAGGAAGTACCAAGTAGAACCAGGCAAAACTGTGAAGACATTCAATATATCAACCTAGTTTTCAGGTATCTATTTCATACAATGCATTACACTATGTGTAAAACAAGTTTCTTTTCTCAACTTACAATCAAATTGGACAGACATCACGCACAATACACAGAAAGACACTGCAGATCCAAGGTAGTGCATGTCAAGGGTAAAATTCAGCTCTTCAACTGGATCTTGAAGAGTGAATCAAACTTAGGCAATGGATAGGAGGAAGAGGAGAAAGAAGTAACAGTGAATCAGCATGTGAATTTTCTTCCATGAGTAATGAATTCTTCAGCTTAAATTAAAAATAATAAAAGCCGGGCTGGAGTTGAAGCTCACCTAGCATGTGTGAGGCACTGGGTTCAATCCTCAGGACCGCATAAAATAAATAAATAAAATAAAGGTATTAATAAATAATAATAATAGCAAAAACCAGGGAGAAGAAAGCCCACAGTGGTGAGACAAATGTGCATAAAAATATCAGAAAATAACCTTGAGGTCTTTAAGCGGTCCAGCCAGCCCTTCAAATAGCCTGCGTGCGACTGTATTTCTGATGTCAAACTGTCAGTCCCCGTGGGCCCTTGACTGAGAAGCCGGGTCTTCACAGCGCATCCAGTAAGCTCAGAATGGCGCTCCATACCGTTTTAACTGTGTCTTAGGAAGCAGCCAGGCTGAGACGGCAAAGCACGACTACCCGCAAGCAGAGGGTCCCGCGGGTCCGGGCGGCTCTTGGTCAGTACCCTGCGCTGCAACCCACCGCCGGTAGCCCCGTCCGGCGCTCTCTATACTGTGACCCACCGCTGTCCGCCTGGCAGCTGGATCCGCGCCGAAATTCCGCAAACGTGCCCTTGTGCTGACCCTCTTTGCTCGTCCCACAGCAAGCCGGTCGCGGTCCCAGACCCCAGAGGCTGTGTACGAAGCCTACTCGGGCAGCGGTCAGCAGCTGGGCCCGCCGGAAGTCCCCAGAGCCGCGAGGACGCCCGCATTTGGACACCGGCGGCGCCCGGAAATGGACGCGGACTGACTCCCCCGGCTTCCGTAGTTACCTCGGACTCCGGCTCGGAAGCCCAGACGGCGACCCGCGGCGGACAAACACCGGGTGGAGCCCCCGCTTCGGCAGCCCTGGGGTGAGTCGCTGCACCCGCCTTGGCTGCGGCACTGCCGGGATCCCGCTGGCCTGGAAGTTGTGCCAGCCGAGGTGGGCCTGGGGCGTCGCTGTCCCACGCTCAGCTTCATGGGCGGGCCGGGGTCCGGCACCCCGCCGCAGGCCCGCGGGGGCCGAGGGTCGTCGGGGTCGYGGTGCCCCGCGGCCGGCCGGGCGCAGTGAGGCCGGCGTCCTTGAGAGTGCAGGGTGCCCCCGCGGGCGGCTGAGTCACGGGACGCAAGTCCCGGGCCGCCGGCCGCGGGGGTCGGCTCCGGGGAGCAGCGGTGGGCCGGGCTGGTGACTGGCCCCCGTGGAACTGGGCTGTGCCCGCCGCTGGCAGGTTCCCGGGGCTGCGCTGCCGTCCCCCCCCACGGTGCAGAGCTCGCCGCCTGGGGAGGAGCGCCGGTCCCGGTCGCCAACCGGAGGGTGAGAGCGGCGCCGCAGTGGTCAGCTCCTGTGGCCGTGTGCGGGCACGGCCGCGGCCTTGCACATGCTAAGGGTGCTCCACGAAGCTAGATCCCAGCCCCGAGTTTAGTTATTTTAATAATGAATTCCACATTAGAAAACTTGCACCGAAATATTTTAGAGATAGTTCCTGCACTCAGGATCCCAAATTATGTTTGTTGGTACGATTTTAAGAATGGGGTTACATCTTATTAACGATGACCTATTGGTAAATATTACTAAAATAACATTTTAAACATGAAAGTAGTTATGAGAAAAGGTGACGTATTCTTGTTTTTCCCTCTATTTTGATTTTACACAGGGCGAGTACCTCAATTTCACTCTGGGGAACCTTTAAGTGAAACGTGGTTAAAATCTTACACACAGGAGAGACTAATCAACAATAAGTTTGAGAAGAATGATGTTGTCCTTAAACAACCTGCAGAACATCATATATAACCCGGTAACGGATTTCTGTCAAATCATTTTTCCCATGGCAGGAATGAGAGCAGATGCAATTGAATAGTAATTACCCATTGGAATGAGACCAGAATAAAATTCAGCAAATATGTACCTACTGTGTGGTAGGAGTGTGGTGGGTGTTCCTGCCCCTAGGGGGAGAGAGGTTATAGTGACAATACAAAGTCATGAGAATAGTGTCAAACAAAAAATGTGTGCGAGCACATGGAGAAATGTCACCTTGAGGTGGTGGTGGGTGGGGAGGCTCAGGCCACTTTAAAAGGGAAATGGATTCTTTCCAAGTTTTTCAATTTATTTTTTAGTTAGAACTGTCTATAAGAAGTTAATGTCTCAGCTTTCCCTTCCACTTTTCAAATACATTTTGGTAATTGAGAAGGGAGAATGTCAAAAGCCAGTGTTAACGGGCTGGGGATGGGGCTCAAGTGGTAGTGCGCTTGCCTGGCATGCGTGCGGCCTGGGTTTGATCCTCAGCACCACATACAAATAAACATGTTGTGTCCGCCGAAAACTAAAAAATAAAATTCTCTCTCTCTTAAAAAAAAAAAAAAAAAAAAAGCCAGTGGTGAGACAGAGCAAGGTTAGCAGGGGCTTGTCCAGACCAGCCTGGTTCAAGAACCCCCAAATGACTGTGATTGTCAAAAAGAGCAGTGATCACTCTGGGCAGTAAAGGACTCACTTCAGTTTTTAGAACTCTTTAGTTTCCACTTCTCTGAAGTTGTATTTAGATCTGAGATAGGGCAGGATTGTTTTTGGTAAATCCATTGGAGACTGTTGGGCAACAAAGGTGATGAGAGCCCTTGAAGTAAGGTCCTAGGCTCACTTTTTTTTTTTTTTTGGTTTGTTGTAGTTGTAGACCTTTATTTTTGTTTTTATTTACTTTTATGGGTGCTGAGGATCTAACTCAGTGTCTCACACATGCTAGGTGAGCACTTCACCACTGAGCCACAACCCCAGGTCCATAGGCTTAAGTTTTTGTTAATTATTTTGTTGCTGTACTTCTTTTCCCCTGAGTTTCAATATCATTGAGTAGTGTGAGGTAGAACCACTATATTACACAAACTCAGTTTTAGAAGAATTAGCATTTGGTAGTAATGGGTTTAAAAAGGAAAACTTGAAGAATTTGGAACCCATGAGACATTTAAAATGATTTTGTGCACGTTAGGGCTAAAAACATCTCAAGGTTGTAGACTGACATTCTGCAAAGATTAAGACTAATAATAATTATAATAACAGCTGCCTGCCAAGGTGACTGAAGGGCATCCCCTTAACTCAAGCTGGAGAACAGAGAAGATGGCCAGGGCTTCTGCTCACCTGTATCCTTCATGCATAGACACTTTAAATGTTAGTTAGCAAACTATTTTATAGGTTAAAATCCCAGCATGTCTTGATTCTGAATCACACTGGTGATTCTTGTAATTTTTGGAGTTAGCCCCATACCCTGTAGAGTTGGAACAAAAATAAGTCAACTTCTGACTTGAGGAAGAGGAAAGCAGAACAGTGCTGCTTGAGACCAGAAAATGCCTTTGGGCCTGGAGACACATATCATGACCTGATTCCAARGAGAATGTTCTGGCAGATAGCTTTGTTTTTGTTTTTCTGTTTCACAATCAGTTCTCACAAAGTGGTACAAAAGGTTAGGTAGAAAAACTGAGCTGAATGGCAAGAATAACACTTTGCTCTGTCTTTAAATTTCCCCATTGTTAAGTATTCATAGCATGAAGTGCCACCTTGCACTGAAGTTACTCTCCCATTTGCAGTTTTTGCTCTACCAGTGGTCAAAAGACAAAAAAATGTGGCGCACTAGCAAAGAGATTTTAAATTAATTAGTTAGGATATATTRTAAGCTAGACTTTAAAAATCTGTTTTTCGCATGGTGGTTATTTAATTTTGTTAGTGATCAGTTCATACAATGAGGAAGTATTTATTATAGAGTCTCTTCTGAGTTCTTTATTAGGCATTATGAAGACAGAACTGCATCTTTTAATTTTTATTTCATTAGTTTTAAAATTTTTGGTCCATTTGGTACAAACTTTGTCTATAATAACTCTTCTTGGAAAGGAAAAGGTAATATTGTAACTAGCCTGTAATTGTTTTCTTAGCATTTCCCTTTGACTTATTCCATTGATGATATTCTAAATTTTCTTTCCTTTCAAATTGGGAGACAGTATCTTCATTTTATATCAGAAATGCTGTCAATGAGTCTTGTCACCCCTGAACACAGGTGGTGCTATGGCACTGGCACTGCCTCTGACTATGGATGTGACTGCTGTCCCCTTGCTGAAGTGCAGTCTGCATCCCTATGACTTCTTGTCACTACTTCTGACTTAATGTCTGAGCTGGGAGTTCTGCCAGACAGTGGCATCAAGTTCATAAGAGAGAAGTTATGCTGAGGTCAAGTTCATGAGAGAGGACACTTTCTAGACACAGGAAGGGTTGTGTTTATAAACTACAAACTGTAGTCTGTCTACAGTTTATAAACTGTAGTCTGCCTAATAATTGCATGCAGTAGGCATTGAATAAGTAAGTAGTCATCAGAAAGGCAAAGCAAGATGAATCACCTAGATGTTTTGGCAAGTAATACCACATGTAACCACTGCTTAACCGGTGGCATTATGTTTGATGTGATTACATCTGATTTCTAATTTTTTGTAGAAGTTAATAATGACCTGTGAAGCAGCAAAGCATCTAGCCTGGAGTTGCCTGGAAAACAGTACCCTTCTCCCTTGTCACAAGAGCAGGTGCCATGGGCTCATGAGTAGGCTGCAGGGCATTTTGTCTCATGAACTTGGTCCAAAACAGTGGAATATCTTGTGGTCTTTTCCAAAATAGGAAGCATTAACACAGAAAACCACAGCAGCAAATGGCCAAAATTCTCAACATGATTATTTATTCTTATCAGACTAGAACAACTTATTTACATTTGCAAACAAGGGATTAACAATGATGGAAATAGATTGTTTGGTCTCAAAAAGCTCTTCCCAACTGTAAAATTAAGTGTATAATTAAAGATATTTTTGTGGTTATAAGAATATAAGTGCTCATTACAGAAATCTGGAAACTATACAAATATATAAAGAAAATTAAAATCCCATTCTCCACAGAAACTCTTGCAACATTTTTGGCTTATTCTTTAGTGTTTTTATTTTAATGCTTATACTTATTAGTTTAGTTGAGATCATGGTATATATAATCTTGTAGGTGACTTTCTGATGAAAATCAAACCCAGTATGTTATTCAGCACACTTAGCCAGCTGCATTCATGCATGCCTATAGTCCAAGCCGCTTGGGAGTTGAGGCAGCAGGATCAGCCATGGGAGGCCACCTGGGCAACAAACATAGTAAGCCACCCATCTTAAAAGGAAAAAACAAATTGCAGATATTAATCTTAACATCTGTAAAGTATGAAGTTACAAATCTGCCCATCTTAAGAGGCTTCCATTATAGAAGATGCTACTGTGTATATTCAGAGTCAGTTGTGGCTCAGAACAGAATGGAAGTGTAATTCCTTTTATATTCCCTGTATGCAAAACCAGCCACCTACCCAGTAATGCAGCTGTAGCCATCATCTGTGTGGTTGATGGATTTTTCCTCTGGTCTACTGGACCTCTGTCCTCTCCTCACCCTGCCTGCCGCAGTGATTGGCCATGACCCCAGTGGAATGACTGGCTTCAATAATTTCTTGTCTTATTGCTGAAGCAGTAGGAACTCGCTGCCTTGGCTCAAAGTTCAGCATCTGCTTGATCACTTCTCTGCATGCAGTCTGCCAGAACCCAGTGACCAGGCTGTAAGAGTTATTGATCATCTCTTGACCTTGGTCCTGGTGAGGGAAAGGTGGTGACCCAGGCCTATCCACAAGGCTCAGCGTCAGGGCAAAGCTGTGTGCCAACAAACTGACTCTAAAGTGTTGTGATGAACAGGGGCAGCTCATCAGCCTGGGAACTGGGGAAAGGTTCCACGGGAAGGCCATGCTCCAGCTAAGATCTTGCCACATATGAGCTACCACTCAGCACTATAGCTTCTCTTGTTTTGTGTCCTTCCTCTTGATTTGATCAGAGCCACCTTGGGTAGGCTTAGGCATGCATGTCATCACTCAGACCAGTGTGGCCTAAAACATGCTGTCATCTGGCCTGCACATCCTTGTCAGAGGCTCCAAAGGAGAGGAAGGAGATGGTTGTTGATGCAGAAGATGTAGCCATGTGACGCAGGTCCCCATTCAGGGACAGGGAGTCATGTCTAGGAAAGGGGAAAGAAGATCTGACAGGTCCCAGAYAAAAAGGCTGGGATCTGGGTAATGAGGGGACAGCATGGGATCCACATATGGCCTGGGCCAGAATAAATAGGTAGGTGCATGTCTTGAGAGACTCCTAGACTCCCAGAGCTACAAAACTGTACCATAACAATTAAATCAATAAATATAAACATTAAAATAAGAGCTCATCCTTAAGATGCACAGCTCTCTGGTTCTCTGGGCTGTGATGTGAAAGTTCAGTGGAAGTCAGGGCCTAGAACCCCAGGCTCGAGGGTGTGGCTTACTTTGGAACCCTGGCAGAGGCAGTGGCTTGTTGCTGTCTCCATCAGCCTGGGCCATAGGCTTTGGGTGGTCTTAAGCCTTCTGCTGGAATCATCTATGAAGCAGTGGGGAGAGGGGTGGGAAGCTTGAGGTTCCAAGTCATTCTTTTTCTTCTTACGATTACTATATTAAGTAGAAGTTTTAATTCACAAAGCCCTTGCCCAAATTAAAAGCAGTGTGTTGGGGCTGGGGCTGGGCTCAGTGATAATGCACTTGCCTGGCATGTGTGAGGCACTGAATTCGATTCTCAGCACCACACATAAATAAATAAAATAAAGGTCTATCAACAACTAAAAAACTAAAACTAAAATAAAAGCAGTATGTCTTTGTTCTAAGGAACTAAGAGTAATTTGCAGATACTGTGGGATCCTAGCTCTGTTGGTTGATCCCTTGTAAATGTTTGATTAGTGAAGATGGCTTGAAAGATGCTGGATTCCAAGCAATTTATATTCAGCCTTTAAAAAATGTAGTCATTCTCAAAGCACTTTGCAATATTTGACATTGAGCAAAAGTACTTTATCTAGTTAAGTGTCAGTTCTGCAAAATGGGTATAATGATGCTCCCAGAYACATCTGGAAATAATAATAATTGAGAAAAAGAAAATAAAATTGCAAATCCTATAAAAAAATAAAATAAAACTGTAGTATATTTTGTCAGTCACTGGGTTTGGTCATAACTACTTYGTAAGTAATTTTGTTTATGTAAATGTATATTTGTTCAATTTTTTTTCCCTTAGATGATCCCCTATGTGGGCACCATTTCTGAGCAACTGGATCCTGGATCATTGATTGTAATCCGTGGGCATGTTCCTAGTGATGCAGACAGGTAAGAACATTGTGTTAGAAGGAAAAATCCATAAACTATATGTATGTAATTGTAACAACAAAAAAATAATGTGGGAGAGACCATTTGGATATTCTGAGGCCTGATCTGCTTTCATCAASGGCTCCATCAAGGTGCTGAGGAGATGGAAATGAATAAATGAGGAAAGATTATTGGAATTTTTTATTTCTTGCTAAAAGTCTGACTTAAAAAAAATTTTGCTTTTTAGTTGTTGATGGACCTTAATTAATTTATTTATTTATATGCAGTGCTGAGAATTAAACCCAATGCCCACACATGTGAAGCAAGTGCTCTACCACAACCCCAGCCCTAAAAGTTTGATTTTAATATGAGAATAAGATATATCAACAAAAAAGGGAATTGTTTTCTCATGCTTCAGAGGTGGTTCAGGCATAGTCTAACATTCCCACAGCATCTCTTAAGACCATTTGGGATAGCTTCAAATGGGGGAAACTGAGTGCTTTGGGTGCACAGCCTGGACTGGGATGTGTCAGAGCTGGGCTCAGCTGTGTGGCTGACACCTAAACATGGTTTAATAAGGTCAGATCTCATGCAGGCACCCAGATGTTGGCAGTCAACTCCTCAAGTCGGAAGAGAAGGTAGGGTCTGGTTCTGCCCTGCTGTCCCTAGGGGGAGGTCCTCTGTCTGGATTCCCTCAGCTGGAATTCTAGCTCCCATTATTGTTTTGGGCAGTTGGGCATGTGTGAGGATAGGCAGATCATGGAGGACAAAGGGCAAATGTCAGCTTGCCTTCAAGACAGCTTCCAATAGCTTATTGGCAGAGCTTTGACCATGCAGGCCAAGGGAGACCCAGCTCAGACTGAAGGGCTCTTATTATTGAGGAGGAAGGAAAGGAATATGAGGCATCTAGCTGTTGTGGCCCTGCCAGTAAARAACAAGGGTCATGTATCACTTGGCCTGGGTGCTTTCTGGGATTTTCCCTTTTGCTGGCCTCTGGGCCTCATATGGTACCTGTTCTTTCTCACAGATTCCAGGTGGACTTACAGTGTGGCAGCAGCATAAAACCTCGAGCTGACGTAGCTTTTCACTTCAACCCTCGTTTCAAAAGGACCAACTRCATTGTTTGCAACACTCTGATAAGTGAAAAATGGGGATGGGAAGAGATCACCTATGACATGCCCTTCAAAAAGGAAAAATCATTTGAAATTGTGATTATGGTACTGAAGGACAAATTCCAGGTAGGCTCTGGAGAAGGACAAGCAGAGTCCTAACTAGTGTCCTGGAAGCACTTCACATTTTCAAACTCAATATCTGCATCTTTCACCCGAGAACGTGCAAGGCTGTGTACTTGTCCTCCGAAGTAGGACCAGCAGGCACCTAGCTGTGAGTGGGGCACAGCTACTCTCCAGCATGTTGTGAACATTCGGGACACAGGCCCACTGTCGCTGCATCTCAGTCACATTTCCTCCAGCAGGGCTCAGTTCTGAATTGTCATAGCATCATATTAAGTGTGAGAAAGTAAATTATAGACAGCACCCTGAGTGTGAGGTCTTGCCATAGGACAGTTATGTAGAATCATGAGGACCTGGTAAATTCTCCCTGGCTTCCTGTTTTTTTTCATATCCTAAGTGTATGGTAGGAGGTGGAATTTCTTTCTGGAGCCCCTGCTGGCACTCAGGCCCACGGATCTCTTGCAGACTRGAGATCCCACAACTCCACTAGGGCCCTCATATCTGTGCAGGTCTGTGCAACACCCTGGCCCATGGGTACTGCTCCCAGGGGAAAATCCTCTAACCTCCTAGACTTCCCTCTTCTCACCCTTCTTTGCCCTTTCTAGCCTCCTGTTAGGACAGCAGTCCCTGTACTATTGTTCCTGCTTTAACATTTTTACTTTGCTCCCTGGTGGGATTTTATGCTCCTTGAGTCAGAGACCATCCTGTGTGCTGCTTGTGTTCTAATGTGGTCCCTGCATGTGGTGGAAGGCAAGGGGAAGGAGCTAGGGGTTGGCCCTGTTTGTGACTGGCACTATGCTGAGGACTTGCAGGAGCTGCGCTGCTCTCTACTCACATCTGTGCCCACTGAGGCTGAGGCCATGCTGGCTCCTCCTCACGGGTAGAAAGCAATCCCAGATGAGATGGGAACTTGCCCATGTTCATCCACTTCACACAATACATATTTATGAAACTTCTGACACATGGGTGGTCTCTGTTAAAGTGGTCCCCAAAGACTGTGTGAGGGAGAAATATGGGGCAAATCGTTAACCTCGGTTCCCAGGCCCCAGGACTGGAGGGTGGGGGCCGGATGGCTCTGAGTCCCTGCATTTCTGCTGCACCTGCCCAGGTTCACAGATGTGCATGTGCTTGTGTATATGTCCCTGACTGTGCATGTCTGTCTGGGGAGGTGGTTCAGGGCGCTTAATCAGATCAGGAACCCAGAACCTTCAGGAACTCTGCTGTGCAGAGGCTGTTTTCTGCTGTAATTTGGTCAGCTCTAAGTAGAGACCTGTGGGAAAAGGCACAAAATGAAAGCCAAGGAAACATTTGGATTTGGATAATGTTAATTTATTAACTGTTTTGGGGGTGCTGTCTTCTCTGTCCCTCCAGGTGGCTGTGAATGGAAAACACATTCTGCTCTATGCCCACAGGATCAGCCCAGAGAAAATAGACACCCTGGGCATTTATGGCCAAGTGAATGTCCACTCAGTGGGCTTTAGCTTCAGCCTGGTGAGTACCTTTCATGCATAGTGTGGGCCTTTTTTTGATGATGTTTTCATAAGGAATGGCAGAAAATATCTTTTAACATCTTCAGATGAGATAAAAATAAAATGATGAGATAAAAATAAATAAAATAAATCTTTTCCTCAATTTCTTKACCAGGGCTTTATTCTAGCAAAGCAACCAACCTTTTTAGCTGGAGAAGATGTATTTTCCTTTCATGGGAGCACAGTGGAGTATTTCCACTTTCCTAGAAGTGGAGTATCTGAGTCAGAGTATTTGCAGTTTAAGTTTTGCTGTATATTGCCAACTTGCCCTGAAAGATGAAAACAGTTGGCACTCTGAGCGGCAGTACCATCTGCTCACATTCTTGTTGAAATCTGAGCTGATTCTCTTTAATGCTTGCCACTGTGGGAAGCCCCAGTGTCAAGTGTTTTGGGATCATAATTTTCAAGGATATTTTCATGTTTAGTACCATTTAATTTTTTGATGTGTTGAATAGGTTACATTCTGATGGATATTAACCTTTACTATCTTTTCTTTAGGATTTACAGAATACTCAGGTATCTACTCTGGGACTGACACAGATAAGTAGAGAAAATGTAAATATGAAATCTTTTCTTATATTTTTTAATTTTTTTTTTTTTTTTTTATTTGGACACATACCTTTATTTTATCTATTTACTTTTATGTGGTGCTGGGGATCAAACCCAGGGCCTTACACATGCTAGGCAAGTACTGTACCACTGAGCTTCAACCCCAGCCCCATGAAATCTTTTAATGAAATGTTATTTTTTAGTTGCTATCAGATGGAAGGAAGGCTGGGTTTTTAAAAAATACACTTTTACTATGAGGCCAGTGCCGCAGTCTTGGCTGGGCACAAAATCACGAGCCACTCACAGCTTTGTAGATTCAAACAGCAATTCTTTATTCCCGAACTCATACCGGCCCTGTACAAACACGTTCTGGGGCAATCCAAGTTCTGCCACACAATTCACGTCCCAAATACTTTCTGAATTCCACGAGAACTCAACGGGAACTCAGGCAGCAGGAACGCCTTATTCCCAGCAGCAGTAACCTTAAACCTGGAACTTCCCTAAACCCAGATTGTCTTAAACCGGGAAGGCCTTAAACCCAAATTATCCTAAACCAGGATACTTCCTAAAACCTGCAGGATACACCCTAAAGCTGGATCCACCCTCGTCCTTGAGCAGGGTCACCTTTCTCAAACACACATGCAATGTCACAGCAAATTTCCAAGGCAAGTCCATTTAACATGGGGTACGCTGGCAAGGAAATTTCGATGTGTCATTCCTACTTGGCAATGGCCCTCAGCAGGCCAGCCTGGAAGCAATCATTTAAACAGTGTGGCACATATTTCTCAGAGTACCAGGAACTGATGCTTAACCTGTTAGTGTATGTGTGTCTCATATGAAACATACCTCTTGTTCTTGCTCTTGACTGGTCCTGGCATGAGGCATTTTTTTCCTGATTTATTTTTATTACTTTATTTGTAATTTGCAAGACTGCAGCATCAACTTTTTATTTTATTTGTTCTTTTTAGTTATACATGAAAGTATAATGTATTTTCAAATATTATACATACATGGAGTATAACTTCCCATTCTTCTGGTTGTACATGATGTACTTGTATTCATATATGAACATAGGAAATTTATGTCCCATTCATTCTACTGTCTTTCCTATTTCCATTCTTCCTCCCTTCCCTTCATTCTCCTTTGTCTAATCCAAAGTACTTCTATTCTTCCCTACCTGCCCCTACTGCCCTTATTGTGAGCTAGCATCCGTATATCAGAGAGAATATTTGACCTTTGGTTTTTTGAGATTAGCTTATTTCACTTAACATGATAGTCTCCAGTTCTATCCATTTACCAGCAAATGTCATAATTTCATTTCTCTTTATGGATGAGTAATATATGTACCACATATTCTTTATCCATTCATCTGTTGAAGGACATCTAGGCTGGTTCCATAGTTTAGCTATTGTGAATTGAGCTGCTRTAAACATTGATGTGGCCACATCACTATAGTATGCTGATTTTAAGTCCTTTGGGTATATTTACTGAGGAGTGGGATAACTGGGTCCAATAGTGGTTCCATTCCAAATTTTCTGAGGAATCTCCATACTGCTTTCCATAGTGGGTGCAACAATTTGCAAGTCTCACCAGCAATGTATGAGTGCACCTTTTCCCCCACATCCTACATTTATTGTTACTTGTATTATTGATAATTGCCATTCTGACTAGAGTGAGATGAAAGCTCCATAGTTTCAGTTTGACACAAGGCATTTTAAAKTATTGAACATCAATCTGTGGCACAGATCCATGTGTATGTCCTCCCCCTTGGGAACAAGTGCAATTTAAAAATTGCATCTTTGCCAGTCTTTTTTTTTAATATTTATTTTTTAGTTGTAGTTGGACACAATACCTTTATTTTATTCATATATTATTATGTGGTGCTGAGGACTGAACCTAGAGTCTCACAGTTGCGAGCGAGCGCTCTACCGCTGAGCTACAACCCCAGCCTGCATCTTTTCTAGTCTTAATGGATAAAAGTCAGTCTGTCCCCTTTCACACATTCATATTTCACAGCACATAATTTCAGCATTTGGGTGGTACTAGGAAAGGATGTGTTTGAAGTTCACATGTAGTTATATAAAATATTACCAGTTTATGGAGGAGGATGAAGGTTCGGATGAACAGAGCTGTTGGTCTGTTCCAGCCATGGCACCCAGGATAAAGCACTGGCTGCCCGCCTGGGTGCCACACCCAGAGTAGAGTGGGCACTGGTGGCCCAGAGCTGAGCTCAGGCCGACTAACCACATCAGACTGCTTCTATTATGGAATGTCAGTCTTTCTTTTAAACATTCTTATTTTTCTTTTTCTTCCAATAGGTACAAAAGTCTGGCATTTCACAGCTTGTAAGTATTTTTTTCTGGTCATTCAATGAAGAACATTTTATAAAATTGCCTCAAAAATGAATAGTTTAACCTTGAAAGGCAGCTTCCTTCTTTCCATACCTTACTGTAGAACTGTTTCCCTGCAGCCTAGTAATAGAGAAGGAGACATTTCTAAAATCGTACCCAAAACTGTCTACACCAAGAGCAGAGATCCGACTGCCAATCACACTTTGACTTCCACCAAAATACTACCTACCAACTCTTTGTCAAAGGTTTGAAGAGTCAAAAATTTTCTTACCTTTACATAAAGATTAAGTTATAATTATGTTCATCATTTCTGCTCCCCAGTAGCAGCCCAGAGCAGCTAGTCACGCTTGTGTGTTGTCACTGGACAGACACAGGCGGCACCCAGGCATGTTTCTGAGCCCTTCACCTCTATCCTCAACTCCTTCCAGCATGGCTGCCTCCCCTTCAGGCAGAATGCACAGGTGGCTTTGCCAGAGTGATGCCCTGTGTGCAGGGCATCAGGGCCACCCATGCCCACTCACTTGGTGGTGTAAATGTTGTCATCGGTAACATGCTGTGAGCTAGGCATGTTAGGTCCCATTAGGGACCAAAGCAGACTTGGTGTGTCCCCTCATGGGATTTCCAGGCTCTCTGAACCATGCCCCCATGGTATGTGGCCAGTTTCCTCATGAAGTCGCTTCCTGGTTTTCAATGTGGCTTCTTTTTAGACTCTGCCATTTGAARCGAGGTTGAACTCCCCCATGGGCCCTGGACGAACTGTTGTTGTGAAAGGAGAAGTGCATGCAGATGCCAAAGGGTCAGTATGGCTGTTACAGTGAGTTGGAGTCCCTGCCAGGCACCTGAGGCCTCCTTTTCCTCATGATGATCCTCGGGGCTATAAGTGGGGCTAATGACAAACCGCATTTGAAAGACAGAACGTTAAAGCAAGAGGAAGTTAGACTGAGCCAGGACTGAAATCCAGTGTGCTGACCAGAGTCTTTTCTAGCCAGACAAGAGGGTAGCAGAGCAGCCCCAGGATATTAGGCAGCTTTTTTAGGGCCCCTCCTATCTTGTGACTTAGAACATTTCTGCTTTAAGAACCTTTTCCAGAGATGGCCAGATTTCTGAAAGCTTGAAATAGAACTATTTCCTAGACAGTAGAATGTATTCAAGAAGAGCTCATGCAGATGACTACAACACCCACATGACCAGGCCTGCCTTCTACAGCCTGAAGCAGTCATTTGCTTTTCCAGCACTGAGCCTTGCGCTTCTGCCTAGCTGGATCTCAGCCTCAACACTGATGTTAAAGTTTTTGTTATTTTCATTTTACAAGCAACATACTAGTGGAATGCTATCTCCTCAGATTGGAAATTTACCTTTGCCTGTGTCCCCTGTCCCTGTGCATATCAGTTGGATGCAGTCATGGTCACAGTTAAGTTGATGTTAAGATTGCAGAATCTGCCACTACTCTGTCCTACTTGGTTAACTAAGTGTTTTTTTGTTTTTTTCCTCTCAAAAGCTTTAATGTTGATCTAGTATCAGGAAAATCAAAGGATATCGCTCTACACTTGAACCCACGCCTGAATATTAAAGCATTTGTAAGAAATTCTTTCCTTCAGGAGGCCTGGGGAGAAGAAGAGAGAAATATTACCTGTTTCCCATTTAGTCCTGGGATGTACTTTGAGGTAAGAGTATATTTTTTGAAAATGGGACAGGAAAGCAAATCCTGCAAACTTGTCTCAGGATTTGAGTGATGTGTGTAATCTCAGGTGGACACAATGTAGGAATCCCCAAATTGGTGGTTTGCACGTATGTCACCTGCCATTTTGGCACAGTTTCACGTGGCAGCCCTTTCTTCCTTTCTCTATGTGTGTAAGAAAAAAATACATCAGACCCTTGCAGCTAAAAGGCAAGTAGTCCTGAGTCCCCAAATATTTCAGTACTGTGGTAACACATGCTTTCCCAAAATAAGTTCCTGAGATGCTGAGCAGAGAATGAAGTCCTTGAATGGTGGCTGCTGGGTGGCTGTTTGGGCTTGCTCACTAGCATAGATCTCACTGCTACACACTATCACATCTAGGGCCATTGATTTGGCTCCCACTTCCACGTTTTAGACCATCATATGCTCTGAAGCACTGGGCTTTCAAGGACTCATCAGAACTAGTTCTTGGAAGCAGGAACATCAAGGCTGGAAACGGGAGAACAGTTTCACAGAAGGCTCACTCCCTAGTTCCAGTGTGATGAATGCCTTTATGGATCAGAGAGAGATGTGGGCATATAGAAGGTTCTGTGAAGTTGTGGTTATTGAAGTCAGAAGGCTAGGAAGAATGTGGAAGGCCAGATTTAGGGCATGATTTGAACAACTCACTCCAGGTGGGAAGAGTGGCACAGGCTTGCTAAATTGGCAGGAATCAGGGCACAGAGGGTGAAATCAGGGCACAGAGGGTGTCTTGAGGTTCACGGGAGGGAGATGAAGGATCCTAGAAGGAAGTTGGTCCCTGTGGCTTGTGACAGAAAACCAGTGATACAATTAGACCTATCAGGGCCCAAGTTTGGTTCTGTGGTATCAAGAGAAATAAAGATAATAAGATGAAAAACTAAAGCCTGGCTAAGGGGAGATGGACTAATGCCGTGTCTTGTATCCATTCTCAAATCATGCCAGTCTCCCTCGTTTGTTTTCTGCTGTGGGAGTGTTAATTATCTCTTTACCACTGTTGGTACTCTTCCACAGTGACTCAAGTTTTGATTGATGCTGAGAGCCATAGCCAAGTAGGAATGAAGCATGGCATTTTTGGTTGAAAGGTGACACCAGCAAGCCATTGAGATGATAATGATTATGTTAAGATGTGCATTCAATTGGAGATTAGACCCCTGCTGTCCCCCTCTACTTTGGAGCTCTGTGGGACTCCCAGAGAGTTCCCATTGGTTGGGGAAGTGTGGTAGGAGGGAATTCCGGAGGAGGGATATTTCCGGTTGCTGGTTCCTGGAGGAGTGTGGAGTGTGCTGGTGGAGTTCAGAAATAAAGTTTGTTCCTGATTCAGTGGCTCGTGATTTGTGCCCAGCCAGACTGTGGCAGATTGCCTGAAATGTCTGGTTTTTATTATGCTTCTGAGATTATCTCAGATTTGTCCACTATGTCATTACTTTCATTTTAAATAGGCTTTTCTCAGATTCACTTATTCTTCTATTTATAGTTTTGCAGTGCTTGGTTGAAACCCAGGGCCTCATGCATGRTGGGGGGAAGTGCTGTACCAATGAGCAACACTCCCAGCCAACTCCATTAAAAAAAAAAATAGCCCTAGGACTTTCATTTTGATCAGCTGTTACCCAGGCATTTGTTCTTGCCAATTTCCTTGGCAGCCATTTGTAATACTACTGTCAAAAGAACAGACATTAACCAGACACAATAGTGCCTGTGTGTAATCCCAGTGGCTTGGGAGGCTAAGGCAGGAGGATTGCAAGTTCAGGGCCAGCCTCAGCAATTTAGCAAGGCCTTAAGCAACTTCAGGAGACCCTGTCTTAGAAAAGACTGGGAATATGACTCGGCCCTGGGTTAAATCCCTAGTACCAAAAAAAGAATAAAGACCCTTAACTTGCTTCTCTGCAGATCTTTGGCCTCCAGGGATGGGTGGATTAGCAACATCCTGTGCTGCTCTGTTTTCTTTGAAGTCTCCAGGATAGCAAGGAGCACAGTGCAAGGCCACCAAAATAGCCTTTTCAGTGGGGTAGAATCAGTGGCCACACTGGCATCAGGCATACAGGTGATGTGAAAGGATACTGGGCTTTTGGGTGTGCATCTCATTGTTTAAGTAAAGCACTCCAAAGTGCTACTCCTAGTGATGATGAAACTGCCAGAATGCTATTACTCCAGAGTATCCCATAACTCAGCTTTGAGGAGACACATTGAAGTTGAGTTGTGCAGAGCTGAAATGGCCTCAGGACCACCAAGGTCCTGAGTTAATAATGTCTCAAGCTTCTGAAATCACCTATAAAGGTCTGACTTGCCCAAGACCCTATAGTTTGAGGCAGGAAAGAACCCAAGGCTCTTAGTCCCCAGCCTGTAAATTGGAAAGCCTCTCAATGAGTAAGGGTAAAGATACAAGCAGCCTCCCTCCTTCATCAGTTCCTAAACACTGAGATGAGGGGCAGCTTTCTGTTTTTGCGGGAGCAAGGGGCAGGATGGGAGCTTTAGGAGGAGTGAGCAGAGGAAAGGAAGGTCAGTAGGCCCTGGGGACTCTGTGCCCAAGGATCCACATGGAGAATCTGAGCATGAGACGGGAAGTGCCACTCCCATACCCTGGTTGATTTGGGTGTTAGAAATGACAGCAGGGAAGTGAGTAGCAGCAGGCTGGGAGAACCACTCTAGAAGGAAAGTAAACCAGATGGTTTTCCTTTGACCCTCTATTAGTGTGTAACAAACTCAGGGAGGCCACTAATCGTCTTTCCTTTCCTTTCAGATGATAATTTATTGTGATGTTAGAGAATTCAAGGTTGCAGTAAATGGCGTGCACAGCCTGGAGTACAAGCACAGATTTAAAGAGCTTGGCCGCATCGACATGCTGGCCATTGATGGTGACATTCGCTTACTGGAAGTAAGGAGCTGGTAGCTGCCGCCACTGCTACAAAACCCAAAATACAAATGGCTTATGTGATTCTGGCCATGTCAAACACATCTGGCTGTCCCTGCAGTTTCTGTTGTTAAGTTGAGCTTGCAYAGCATTAAGTCCTCCTGGATGTTCTCAGTCTTTGCCATGCATCGTGTCTCCCTAGCACCAGAGGAGGAAACTGGGGCAACAGCAACTTGTAACAGTAGGGTGGCTCTGTTCTCTGCCCCTGGACTCCTCTTAAAACCACACTCAAGTATTTATTAAGTGCCTACTATACTACATCTGCTGATAGGTACTGAGCATATCTTTTCTATCATCAGTGTATTAGGAGCTGGGACATGTGCATGGTGGGCGCAGGACCTACCTTCCGCCAGGTGCAGTCTTCTGAGGACACTATGTACACTAATCAGAGGTCCTTCAGGGCTAAGGGCTGTGCTCCTGTAAAACACTAGTTTACAGAAGCCACCACCCCTCCCCAGCAGTGGCTTCCAGTCAGTCCTGTCTTAGTCCATGATTGTGGACAGATGCTTTCATCTGGCAATTGACTTTGAGCTTAATGAAYACCTAGCTGTCCTTGCTAAAGAAAGCTTTTCCAAATAATTAACGTTATGACATCTGAATAAAAAAAAAAAAACTAAGGCAAAAGTCAAAGCCAAACAAAAAACAAATGATGCCGACTTTAGCTTGACACCAGACTTCAGGTAGTCCACCCGTCTCTCATCAAAAGCCAGAGTGTGCCTGTGGCAAGTCAGGTACGTGAGGTCTGTAAAGTACCTGTGGGTGGCAGTGAAGTCGAGATGAGACCCAGTGCATATAAAACAGGCACTCCCAGAAGGCAGAATCTACCTGTGAGAGACCAATGAATTAGGTAAAGGGAACATAAAAATGTTGTGTTGGCGTGCAAACCAACACTCACCTTTGCTCTTCTAAAGATTAGTTCATCATTAGCAACTAAGATCAAAACCTTGTTCTGCTTCAGTGATTAAAATCAAACCTGTGTCAGCAAGTTCAACTGTTGCCTTTCTGTAGTTTTTCCATCATTTGAAGGGAATTGGCATAACTTTTATGTAGAATCTGTACAGGTCAGATCTTGTTAGAGGAGATATCAAAGTTTTGGGTGTAGAGAAGAAAAAAAGCTAAAATCAGTCATCATTTTATCATGTTAAACTGCTAGGCAGAATTCTGCCAGGGTTCAGAAATATTTTCATAACATACTTGGTTAGATATCATTTATAGCCACATATTTTAAAAGAATATCATTTTTTTTTTTTAAACAAAAGTAGTGCTRAGTCTTGCCAAACTCAAGACTTGGGGGGTGTGGTGGCAGGAAAAATTGCAGGAGGCTAGAAGGCTCTAGAATCCCCCCAGAGTTACAGGGTTCTTTCTTTCCATGAAGACATCAGAGTGAGATGTTAGACTGAAAGGCACTTAGGAGGAAAAAAAAAAGCCCATTCCTATTGTCCCCAGTGAGTCTTAAAAAGCTCCTCACTGAGCTCAAAGTCAGCCTTGTGCTTGTCAGCTCTGCACTGAAATTTCTTGATTAGACCGAGCTGGGCACGGTAGCACAAACTGTAACCCAGCCACTCAAGAGGCTGAGGCAGGGGGATCACAAGTTCAGAGAGCTTTGCAAGACTGTCTCAAAATCTAAAACAAAAACAAATGGGTTGGGGGTGTGGTCCAGTGGTTAAGTTCCTCTGGGTTCAATCCCTGGTACCAAATTAAAAAAAAAAAAAAAAAAAGAAATTTAAATCAAAGACTTTCTTTCACTCAATGTGAATATTCTATGGAACTCAATGCTTTACAAACAAAAGGCAGATTTGTTTGATTTTTAGCTCAGGGCTTACCTTCCAGCTTCACCATGACACAGCACTAGAGACAGCAAACTTCAAAGCCTGGAAAAAATGTGCTGCTGTTCTCTGAGTTAACCACSAAGGGAAAGCTGGTGTGTTTTAATTGTGGAAAGGGCTCCCTCCCTCATGCCATCTAGTATGTCCGGGTCCTTCCTGTGTGACCAGCCAGATGTGGGGTATTTTATAAACATGGTGTTGCTGCCTCYCCACCCCTACCCCAAAAGGGTTAAAGGATATAGGAGGCAATCATAGTCATTGAGTGTAAAATGCATTTAGAAGTGCTTCCCTACATGTACACATTCAGAAATGAAGGCTGCATTATGAGTCTCCCCAAACTGGCTTTCATCCAAATATTCCTGTTGAACACAGAATGGTATGAGTGAATCTCCAGCAGGGAGAATAGTAAGGGCTATGCTGAATAGTAAGGGTTTCCAGGTCTAAGGGAGCTGTCAGCTTTGGGTGCTGAAGTTAAACACATGAGTCATAGTAACTCCATTCAAAGACTACAAGTGCTTACATATGAATCATTTACTCTTAATAACGATACAGCGGGGTTGGAGGGGGGTGTGGGTTGGGGAGGGGAGCTCGTTTGGCAGCACAGGCCAGGCACGGACTTGGCAAAGCAGTCAGTAAGGTCTTTAAGTAGTCCCAGTAGGTGTGAAAGCACCAAAAGTAACATGGCACCAAACACCCCAAATAAAAATATGAACTCTGAACACAATTTTAAACACCAAGGAAAGTTTCAGAAGTAGCTCTGGAGTGGCTCCCCCAGCGTGACTTCCAGTTGCTGAATGGTCTTTTGGCACTGGTGTTCTACTTCCTCACATTCATCTAAAAAAATGAAATATCAAAATTAAAATCTGGGTCCATTTGTCATCCCGCTTCAGTTATCAGCCTAATTTTCAACGTCCTGTGTTATCTAGCATTTGTTCCCTCAGAGTGGAAGAAGTGCATGGGTGGCCCAGGGCACATGGTGCACTCCCCTCTGCCTTCCCTCCCTCCTAAATGAGAGTGCATGGCTGCTCAATAGAACAGAGCCCGGGAGTAGAGCAGGCACATCCAGACCCAAAACTCAAGGAAATGCTGCTCTTAGAAGCTCACACAGCCCCTCTCCAGGGGCAAGTCACAAAGCAAGATGCTCTTCTGCTTATGAGAAGCAGCAAATCAGTGTGCAAGTAGTGGTCCCCTTCCCCAGCATTCCTGCTTAACAGAAAGGGCTTTTGAGGGAGGGGTACGACGCACAAGGGTATGAGCTCTAGCTGGGACAAACCTGGCTGCATAAATCACCTGTCACACTGGCTTTGTTTCCGCCATCAAACTATTTGGGTCTTAAAGCCTCTAGTTTCTTCCTTTGTAAAATAGGAACAATGTTCTTTACCCTACATGAGAACTGAAGATCATCTGTGTAGAGCATCTTAACACTGAGCACCAAGTGCCATTCACCACTCAAATGGACATTCCAATACATCCTTTTTTAAAAAACATTCTTTTAGTTGTATGTGGACACAATACCTTTATTTTAGTAGTTTATTTATATGTGGTGCTGAGGATCAAGCCCAGGGCCTCGCACGTGCGAGGCAAGTGCTGTACCATGAGCCATAACCCCAGTCCCTCCAACACATCCTAATGGCACTAGAGGTTTTGATACATTAACTCCACATCTCGAGACCAAATATTCAGCCATATAAATGTATGAGATTAATGAAAAACAAAACTGTAGTCTGTCTGAATACAAAGAAGGGTAAAGACAGTGACAAGTCCTGTAAACAGCGTGAGTGAGAGGTGGTGGCTTCCATTAGCCCATACTCCCACCTGGGAGCGAGGCAGAGGACTGGACCCCTGCTAACCATACATCCAAATCTCTTATCAGCATTGGGCACATTTCCACAGAAACTTACTGTAATATTTAATAACAGTTTGGGACCTACCTTCCATCAATTCTGCTAAGAAAGGAATGGATTCTGGTAGCAAAATGATATAATTTTCCTTCAGCTTTTCAGCCAGGGCTATCACAGTAATCAAGGCAGCAAACCGGACCTGACAGGAATAAAAAAAGAACAAAAAAGTGGTTTGTTTTATTGTTCACTACTATTTTACCACATTAAGATATGTTCTGACTTGAGACAAGCTCTTTTCAAACTAAATCTTATTTTACTTGCATTTTTTACTTCATTATTATGCATTAATATTATTCAACTTTCATCTTAAGATTATCAGTTTAATACTTGGGGTCTGTTTGAAATATGGGTAATTGTACAAATCAGTTTTTAGAACTCTGTTTTAACACTATCATTTTAACACTATTGTAAATGTCTTTTTATGACATTTTTCTATAAGAAATAATAAAATGCTACTTGCAGGCTCAAGTGTGTCACCATCTGCAGGGGAGGGGTACCGGGCACTAAACCACTGCACCACATCCCCAGACCTGTTTTGTATTTGATTTAGAGACAGGATCTGCTGAGTTGGTTAGTGCCTTGCAGTTGCTGAGGCCGGCTTTGAATTCATGATCCTCCTGCCTCAGCCTCCCAAGTCGCTGGGATTACAGGCATGCACCACCATACCCATCATGTCACCAAATTTAATTGCTCTGGAGTTCTCCGGCTTGCTGGGCTGCCTGAGATGATGCCAACCTGGCAATGAAGAGTCTTGCCTTCTCTGGCAGTTGAACTCACCCACAATTACTAGCTATAATCACCACTGCATTGTGAGAGGGGCCAGAGCACCCACATGGATTACACTCTCATCTATTAATAAAACACAGTGTCACAATGTCCTACTTCTGAAATTTAAAAAAAGGAAAAGAAATAGTTTGGGTGCTTCTCATATACCTTATCTATGAAAAGGAATGGACGCAGTCACCAGATACTACTATAATACCGTTCCAGTTTGAAATAATTCAAACTATATTCAGTCAGCATTTTTTGTTTTGTGCAATCAAAATTTAAAAAAATAAATCTAATGCTGCAGTGTATGTAATCTGTGACTTAAGATTTAAGGGTCCATCACAACAAGTTCCTTATGTTACTTTCTAATAAACAAATGTTAAAAATCTGAACAAATCCTATTAATAGAAGTCTGCTTCGGTCTGATTTATCCAGTGAAGGTCTGTATGGTAATCAATTTGAGAAATGGCTATTCATTTCTAAAATGATTGAAAGTTTCCATAGGGCATTTTAACGCCACCCCACCTGTCCATGTCATCCTGTATCTGTTGCCAAAACTTGCCCAAGAGAATTGTAAGCCTAATCTACACAGAAGAGATACTATAYAATACCTCTACTGCTTTAACTCAAAGGAGTATTCTATGGACAAACTGAAAGCATGTATCTCAGGAGTACAATGACATTTTAAAAATACTGATATTTAAGTCTTGCTGTTCAAGAATTAAAAATATCTAAAAGATATTTTGGTGCTCATGCCTACCACACCTGGGGAGGATGCCTATCAGTAAATTAAAGTTTCTAGGCTTCAATTTCTGCCCAGCACAGCACACCAGACCCTGAGTACCAGAAGACAAACTGCACTGTCCCCCCACTCCAGGCCCAGGTCCTACGGCCATGACCCTACATCAGTGCTACTAGAATCATGGGGAGTATGCAGCTGCAGAGCTTGTTGCCCACAGCCCCTAACCTTGGGTGAGGAGTCTCTTGTCTTCAGCAGAATCTGGTAGTTCAGAGGTTTCCATAGAGAGTCATCTGCCATGGCCACTGAGAACTGTGCAATGCAAGGAATCAGGTGCTTYGTCACTCGCTCCTGGAACCTCTCCTCTCCTCCAAGCCTGTTTTCCAGCTGTGAAGAGTGGGGCAAGGACTGTGAGCAACACGTCTCATTTTCCTTCTACTAGAAAATGCCTGCTGTAGAATGGTATCTGGTATCTTATAATCTAACTTTCTATAACAAGTATCCTATCTTCTGGAACTCAGTCTCACAACCCTCAGCACCAGCCTTCTCCTCCCCCAAGAAAACCTTGGACAGTTTTCCTCCAGGGGCAGCCACACCCTCACACTTCTGAAAAAGCCATTAAATGGCTAACACTTCTTTTTTTTTTGGGGGGGGGGGKGGGTACTGGAGATTGAACCTAGGGGTATTCTACCACTGAGCTACATTCCCCACAGCCTTCTGAACTTATTTTGAGACAGGATGTCAGTAAGTTGCCCAGGTTGGCCTCAAACATTTGATCCTCCTGCCTCAGTCTCCGAAGTCACTGGGGATTACAGGTACACACCATCATGCCTGTCAGTCAACACAATTTTTAACGTTAAGTAACCATGGGAAGGTGTTTTTTCTGAACAATTCAAAAGAAACACTGAACAATGAAGACTTTGAAATGTCATAAAAAAGACTCCCCTACCAAAAAAAACAAAAAACAAACAAAACAAAAAAACCCACCAACCTTTTAAAAAAAGCCCTACAAGCGTCTATTTGGTGAATATAAACCTGCAGAAACTTGACAGGTGGCAGCCTCCTCAGCTAACAGGCCAGTTCTGCAGTTACCTGATCCACCAGAGGCATCATCAGGGCTTCTGCTCTCTCTTTACTAATGAAATGCTGGGTGTCGAAAAGGAAGATTTTATACAGACA